AGACCACACAAAAACAGGCAGTGGGCAGGATGTGTTTAGCTGTCATAGTTTCCCATCCAGAGGTGTAGAGCATAATTAAGGACCTAGTTGGGTGGTTCAGAACCATTGATAAAGAAGTTTAAGGAAGCGAGATAATCACCGGGACTGCTTTATAGAAAAGTCAAAACTTAAACTGAATCTAGAAGGTAGTAAAATAATTTGGATGATGAAGAAAAGAAAGAGGATATTTCCAGTCAGCAATAACATAAGCCAAGAGAGAAGAGTTGAGTCTGGTGCACTAATGAGTGATGAGTTTACACTGAATAGAGCAGAAGGCCCTTATCATCCACCAGCTACTGGGTATCTGCTGGGTACATACACTTGGCCATAAAGTTGAATAGATAAAATGTAAACATTGCTTCTTTTCTCTATCCTATCCTTGTAGAATTGCTTTTAGAAAAATATTGAACATTCTTCTTCTAGCCTCCACAACTCCTAAATTCTCTTTCAAATTTTTCTTCTCTGTACTTCTTTGATCTTTATTCTGGATAATTTCCTCAGATGTGTTTTCTAGTATCTAATTCCTGTTCTATGTTGTGTCTAATCTACTGTGTAACACTTCCATTGAGGTTGTAATATCCATGGCTATATGTTATTTCTAGAATTCCACTTTTTTAAATCTTTTTTCCTAGTTTCATACTGATTTCTTCTTAAGTTACAGTATTATACCTTCATTTTTCTCTTTAAACAAGTTAAATACTTCTGCTTTATAGGATAGTCTAGATTGTTTCATTTTCTCTGGGTTTTAGGGTGCTAATTTTCTTGTTTGTTGCTCATGATGATTTGTTTCTTTGGGCAGTTTATAATTTTGATAGTAAACTAATATTCAATGGGGTTTTTACCTGAGAGACCTTTGTGCTCAGGATTATGAAAGCGTCCCTACAAAGTGGCTTTGATTTGCCCTGCTGAGCCCATAGGAGTTTTGCCCATTCCATAACAGTTGCTACGTTAATTTCTTAGCTTCTACACCATGTGGGTAGGATAAATTTGAATCCCACAACCACGGAGAGTGCAGGATTGAGTTTGATATCTTATGGATGATTATTTTCCTATTTGTGGCCCCTAGCATACAGCACACTTCCCTGACACCTCCCTAGGGGCTAGCAATTGGAATTTTCTAGTCTCTCCAGCTTCTTAGCTGGCACAGGACTGAACCTTCATTTCCTGTCCCAGCAATGGCATTACGTCAGTCGCCTGCCTTAGGTCCATGGGTCTCATATGTCTACGGATCATTGCTTTCTGCTCTGTCACTTGCGGTTTCCCTTCTATTTGAGTTTACCTATGTATTTAACGCATTTTAAAAATTATATTTTATTCAGCATTTCTGTACTTGGAGGGCAAAGAGAGCCTTACCATGCACTTCCATCTGACAAATTCTCTAGAAGACCCAGTGGTTTTTATTTTTAAGAAGACGAAATAAAAACATATGGGGATTAAAAGAATGAAGATTTTAAATGTGGATAGGCAGCATTATTCATAATAGCCAAGACTTGGAAACAACCTAAGTTCCCATCAATGGATGAGTGGATAAAGAAGATGTGGTATATATACACAATGGAATACTACTCAGCCATAAAAAACATGAAATTTTGGCATTTGTGACAATATGGATGGACCTTGAGGGCATTATGCTAAGTGAAATAAGTCAGACGGAGAAAATCAAATACCATGATTTCACTCATAAGTGGAAGATAAAAACAACAACAAACAAACACATAGATACAGAGAATTGATTGGTGGTTACCAGAGGGGAAGTGGGGAGAGGGGAGGGAGAAAAGGGGGATAGGGCACATGTACACAGTGATTAGTCTTTGGGTGGTGAACATGATGTAGTCCACACAGAAATCGAAATATAATGATGTACACCTGAAATTTATATAATGTTATAAACCAATGTTACCTTAATTAAAAAAAATGTGGATAGAAAGAGTGTAAAGATTCTGAAAAGGAAAATAAGATCCCTCCAGAGACACAGAGGATTGAGAGTTCTCTGGATATAGATGTTTTATTTGAGTGTTTTTTAACTTTTTATTTGAAAATAATTTTATAATACAGAAGATTTGCAAAGATAGTACAGAGTTGCCATATACCTTTTACCCAGCTTCCCCTAATGTTAGCATCTTACATAACCACGGTACAATGATCAAAAGTAAGAAATTAACATTGGTACAACACCATTCACTAAAGTACAGACTTTATTCAGATTTCACCAGTTTCCACTAACGTCCTTTCTTCCATTACAAGGTCCAATTCAAGGTTACACATTGCATTTAGTTGTTGTGTCTCTTTAGTCTCCTCCAAACTACGACAGTTCCTCAGTTTATCAGTCTTTCATGACCTTGACACTCTCCGTGAGTACTGGTCAGGTATTTTGTAAAATCTCTCTCAACTTGCATTTGTTTTGTGGTTTCTCAGCTTTAACTTTAAAGTTCAAGTCCTCCATAAAGCAACGTACCTGTTCCCTGCCACCTTACCTCACTATTCTGTCTTCAGAAACACAGGAATCGTCCAGCCAAATATCCTTATTGTCCTGGACTAACCAAATCCCTAACTCTGACCAAACTGCAGTAAACACAGCCACAACCAGCAAATACAGCTCTCTGGACTTTAGTCCTTCATCTCTCTAACTGAAACGTTTTCCCCTCCTGGCTCAGGCCCAAATCCCACTCATCTTTCTAAAGTCAGAGCAAGTCGTACATTTTCTTTGACCTTTTTCCCAAAATCTCAACCTACCTATATCATTTGTTTTTTATAAATACCATGGTTCTTATCTCTTCAGTTAATTTAGTGCTTGGATCATATTCTTTAAAAAATTTTTCTATTTGTTTCATATTATTTATTTCCCAACAATACCATAGCTCCTTTAGGTCAGATGCCATACATCATACTTTCTGATATGCTCAGTAGTTAGTAATATCTAAATATCTAATAGACATTTAATAAATATATGTCGGTTTAACATTTATATCAGCAAATCAACTACTATAGTGAGTCATCAAAGAAATAGTTGAGCACTGGGAAGATTCCAGGAGCTATCTTATCTATGCAGGAATGTTAAAAACTACTCTTTAAGATATGAAGTTAGAATAGCTATGCAAATAGCTTATGGCTTTGATAATATTCCAAGAAAATGTAACCCTGAGCTAGAGCAATTCTTATTTCTCACCAGGAAATAATTCATCAGGATATTTATGGCTTATCTATTAATAAAGTAAGTCACTATAATATTTTATACTACCCTTTCTTGTTTTGTTTTAAAACAACTATCTGATCAATTTCCATTTTTAAAATCAACTACCTGTTACAGAATTATTAACATATAAAGCTGTCAAATTTTCCAAGGACAACGGGGGAGTATTAATGGAGTTTATTGATTTTTTTAAAAGATAAATATCATTGTTTTCCTTGTTAAAAACAAAATACACTTGTTGAAAGAAATCAAGAAAATATAGATGAACTGGGGCTGGCCCAGTGGCGTAGCAGTTAAATTTGTGTGCTTCGCTTCGGCAGCCCAGGGTTCACCAGTTCAGATCCTGGGCGCGACCTATGTACAACTCATCAAGCCATGCTGAAACAGTGTCCCACATAGAGCAACGAGAAGGATGTGCAACTATGACGTGCAACTATCTACTGGGGTTTTGGGGAGAAAAAGGGAAAAAAGGAGGAAGATTGGCAACAGATGTTAACTCAGGGCCAATCTTCCTCAAAAACAACTCTATCATTTTAAAAAAAAAAGCTGTCTATTAAAAAAAAAAAAGATGAACAAAAAGAAAATAATCTCATAATCCCAACACACAGAAACAGATACCAATAACATCTTTTTCCAGTTTTATTGAGATATAATTGACCTGTTAACATTTTATTGTATAACATACCATATGTATACCTATGGTGTGTGTGATCATTTTATACAAATTGTTTTCCAACTTACTTTTTCCACTTAATGTTTTGTACTTCTCACATCATTAAATATTTTCCACATTATTTCTTTGTGATGGTGAACGGAATTTTATAGGTTGGATGTATTATAATTTATTAAACTAGTCTCTATGTTTGGACATTAGAATGTTTCCAATTTTCCCCCAATATATGTCATGCCTCAATGCACATTCTCATGCTTAATTGTGAACACACCCATATTTCCTTAGCATAAATTTCTAAAAGTGAACATTTCTGTATGAATTGTTATACATAGTTTAAGGTTTTGGTTTTTATGTTTTAAATGGCCACTGCACAACTGTTGTGCCAATTTACCATCTCAGTCAGTGGTAGTTAAAGCAACTTTCCAACAATATATCATGTCGTATGTTGAAAGGAAACATGCTCACCTCTAGAGAATCTCTAAAAAGATGATGAAATCAAACTACGTTTTCTTTTCTATTATGGGAGTGCCCTTTTTCCTGCAACTTTGATTAATTTTTTAATATTTTGCTTCCTGATATAGTACATGCAAAATGACACGCATTATTTAGTGTGAGTTGCAAAGAAAGTACAAGGTCATATGAAATAAAAAAGTCCGAGGGAGCATGGCTGCAGCTAAGAAGAACAGTAATGAAATTTATTAATTAGGTTCCTATTTATAAATCTCTTGTCAAGAACAATTCTTTTGTAAAGTAAGTTTTCTTGCTTTCTTTGGTATTATTAGTATATTTGCAAGAAAGATAATATTTTGCACTTTTATTTCAGATTCACCAATCTTTCTTATAAAAAAGAATCAGGCTCAGCCAACACTTCTGTGTGCACAAACAATTGAGGGATAGTCATCACATTTAGAATAAGAAATTTCCCAGTAGACATGATCATTCATTATTTATTTGTACTTATTTATACACTCACCACTGCACAAAGAATTTAAGACAAGTATATTTATATTTCAAATGACAAACATAACAAAATAATATAATTAAAATTAAAAACAGACCAATAGGGCCAAGAAAAAGGGAAATAAAAATACATCACCATGAAAGCTCTACTTGAACTTCAAGTTTGGTTTCATGAATGTTCTTTCCCATTTGAGACATAAGTCGTTGCTGCTAATACACATATCAGATTTATTTCATGTGAAACATTCATTAATTTCCAGTTATTAATATTTATTTCAACAGAAAAATGAACACAGGTACTTAAAGAAAGAAGCAGCTGATAAAACACTTTCCCATATCTATAGATAAAAATCAGACAAGCTCTGTAGGCTATGATTACTTTCAAACAATTGAACAGTTTTAGAAACCAGTCCACATTCCTCTTCAAAGATCTGAAAGGCAGAGGATGAAATCAACCTACTTTTTTTTCTACTCACCTGACATCAATCCGGGGTGACTAAATCTCTACAAGCCTGCTTTAAATAGAACAGTCCTTTAAACTAATACTGTATTCTTGAAGTATTCTTAAACTAATATTGTATTCTTAAAGTATAGAGGAGATGAAGTTGGTGTCTAGGAAAAACAAAACACTCTATTGATCCCTGAAGAGACATTAAGAAAGCCAGAGATCCCATAAGCAGTCTGTTTGGCAGTGGTGACAGTGCAAGGAAAAGCTAAATCGGACTGTGCCCACCAGGATGCAGGAATCTGCACACTGAATCTCATTTTGCTATTTGCGATATTATTTATATTTTCTGAAAATTGGATAATATATATCCGTAAGACAAGCAAGAGTGCTTCTTAAACAAAGAAATAGTGGTAAAAGAACTAGTAAGTGATTAGCAAAGTCAGGGCTACTTTGGTGAAGTGCATCATAATATTTATAAATCATGTACATGATTGCCAGAGTGGACCACTGAGCAAGCCTTCTAGAAAAATGCCTCATGGTTTAAATGGTAAGAGAGTGGTTCTGTAAATGCACGTTACACCTTGGAAGCTGCTAATAATGTGGCGGTAAAAACAGGCACATACGCAAGCATAACGCTTTATTCTCGTTCCAAATTCTAAAAATGTATGTTTTTTGACTGGCATGAGTTGTCTCTATACCAGCAAATTACCTGTTTTTCTAGCTTACATTTTTAGAAGAGTTTTTTTGTAGATTATGTATTAAAAAAAGGATATATTATTTTCTAGGAACCATAATCATTAGAAACTTTTGGAGGGGGGAAGAGATTCATGTAAATTGGCACTGTACAACTCAGTAATTCGGACAGTAAATTCTTAATAGAAAATGTTGAATTTTTCCTCTAGTGAAAGGGTATGACTAGATACAACGACTCTTATTTGGGGCTTCAAATTAAACTTCAAAACAGCTTCACTTATATTCAGTGAATGCCTGGATAGTCCAGCTTTCACTCCATCTCAATGTGTGAAAAAATGTCATATTTTGACTAATGTATTTCTTCTCTGTTTAACTTGCTTATTTTATTTCTGGTCTTACAGAGGTACTGTGCATTTCCTGTGTGTCTTTAAACCTCTGGTCAGTAAGCACTTTGCTTATGGTTACTGGGCCAAGGAAGGAAGCAATACCTCAGAAAGGGCTCTGACTCTAGCTACTTGGAGACCAGCAGCAGGGAACCTGTGAGAAAAGGAGCATATGGGTCCCCATCCTAGAACTACTGAAAGGGAATCTGCATTGTAACAAGATCCCCAAGTGATGCAAATTCAAATTAAAGTTTGAGAAGTACTGCCCTGGAGCACATTGACTCTTCCTTCTTCAGAGATTTTTCTCCCTGGCTATTCTTCCATTTAGAAAGAGATGTAGCTATGTGAGCAGCGGCCCATTTTCAGATAGATGTGAAATAAAGGTAACATTTTAAATTTATATTAATCTATTTCCTATGCATATGACCTCCTTCGTTGTCTGAAGACGTCCACTTTCAGGTTGGGGGGATTAGTTTTGTTAGAGCAAGATTGTAAAGTAAAAGGAAAAGAGTTAATGTTTAGCCTACAAGATCTAAAATAAATTTTTTTATTCTGCAAAAGATAAAAGACTTGAAAGCCAAGCTTTGTTTAGAGAAAAAGATTTTCTACCATCCCTATTTTTCCCACTTTTATCACATCATGAAGAAAGTAGATGCAGATCACAGTTTTTTCCACAGAATAGAAAAGATATCTACGCACCTATTACCTAAGCCATGAATTCTTCCCTTCATTAGTTTTATTTGGAAATAATTGTCTGTTTACAGAAGAATTGCAAATACAATACAGAGTTCTTGTCTACCCTTCACCCAGCTTCACATAAAGTTAACATTTTACATAACCATGATACAGTGATTGAAATTAAGAAATTAACACTGGTACAATACTCAGACTTTATTTGGATTGCCCCAGTTTTTTATTAATTTCCTTTCTTTTCTGGAGTCCAATCAATGATACCACATCTCCTCCAAGCTATGATCATTTCTTAGTCTTTCCTTTCTTTCACGATCTCAACAGTTTTGAAGAGAATTGGGGAGATATTTTGTAGAATGTCCCTCAATCTGAGTTTATCTAAAGTTCTCTCATGATTAGACTAAATTTATAGGTTTGGGGGAAGAATACCAGAAAGATGACATTAGGCCATGAATTTTTGTCCTTAATGTATAAGGATAAGCTGCGGAGGAAATAAAAAGCCAGAAGTTTGCTCCTTCTGGAGCGGGAAAGGAGAAAGAAGTAAGGCAAGCAGATAATATCAGGGTTCTAGTTTCCAATATCTCTTCCACACCCACCTTTTTGGTGCTACCTTTCAGGGGAAGGGCAGCTTTGTAACATCTAGATACGTATACTGGTGAGTGGCTCACTTTCCCAGATTTAGGCTCTAGGCAGTGATGTGCTGGTAAATGTTTAACAACTGGCCTTGGGGTGGAGGGTGGAGCGGAGGGAAGGTGGAGCCCTGATTTATAATGTTTGTTCATTTACGTGGTGTAAATACTTCTATCTTGGCCAATTTGAAGCCACCAACATGACGTTACTGAGCAGAGTTGGGAAGAACTGTGTGGTAGTACAGTTTTATAAAAAATTTCCACCACACACATGTAATAAACATAAATAATAGTAAAATAAATAGGAAATGAAGATTTTGAACATGAATTACCTTTGCTTTTAATATAATTTATTTAATATACGTCAATTTTTAATAATGGCTGTGTTTAACAACTGAAGTGCAAAATTCCTAAAAAATTAACAATTGGCTCAATTACAAGCTCCCTCTAGCATGCCACTGCTTCTAGGGGATTCTGACCATTTGACTCAGGACCACATTCCATGTGGCCAAGAAGCAATGGTACAGAGGCAGCAGCAGAAGGTGGGGAGATACATAAAGACTTAGAGAGCATTCCTGTCTCCTCACAGCCTTTATGTGGGAAGCAAGAGTCTCTGGAGTTTCTCACCTCCCCAGTTAGACTGCTGGGGGACTAGCAGAGGTCTAGGAGCAGGGAAAGTGGCCATGGAGGATGGAAGTTTGATGCTAGGGGAAATGTTCAGGGCTTTGGCAGCAGTAGTGAGGGCGGGCGCACATAATCCCAAAAGATCAGGTGGGCCCTAGTCACATTTCAGTGGCCCCAATTCTAGGGAGAAGCTGAATCCAACCCCTCTTACAGGGGAGATCACTGAGTATCCAGAGGACAGTGCATGATCCAAGGGAGCCAGAGCATAAAATAAGACCCCCCTCCTATACCCAGATGCTATCTTGGGAAAGAGAAGAAAGAGGGAGGCAGAGCAGCTGAGAAAGACTGAGTCATCTAAAACAATGTTACTCAAAATGTGGCCCCTGGCCAGTGCCAGTCCACAAAGTATTGCTGGTCTGAGGTGAGATAAATACAGGTGAGTGTTCGTGTTTAGAAATTTTTATCATAAACTGACATTGCCGTGACATCCTAGCATGTGATCACTGGACTCATCTTGTTGAACAAGATATAGACCAGTTCAGGTGTGTTGAACTGGCGTGACGAGTTGCTTGTGGCACAAGTCATACGCAGGACGACCATGTATTTGATCCATGATCGATCAGAAAAAATCGATTTGAGAAGCATTAATCTAAAAGACTTTTGAAACCATCCTCTTTTGGTGGGAATAAAATACTGAATAGTTTGAATCAGAGGTCAAAGTGTGTTCCTTGGACCAACAATATCAGCATCACCAGGAATCACCTTAGAAATGCAAATTCTGTCTCCACCCCATGTACTGAATCAGAAACCGTGGGGGTGAGTCCAGCAATCTGTGTTTTCACACGCCCTCTAGGTGATTCTGCAGCATGTTTGAGTTTAAGAACCACTGTTTAGAATGTTTAAAGTGAAAGAATTCTGTTCAAGCTGGAGGAAAATGAAACACTATTTAAAAAGTGCAAATTATCACTGCTAGAACACAAAGCTGGAGTCCATGAGGATCAGACCAGGTAGAGAAACAGGAAGAAAACTAAACTTTGCCTGCATATCTGAGCAGTATGCAAGTGAGTGAGGCCAAGATGTTAAAGCAAATACTTTCATTGGGTGATCATTTTTCATTTTTTCGACAAGCTTACTCATAGTGCTGTGGCTCCAGATTTCCAAGCATAACTCATTTCCCAGCCCACCTCAGCCTGTTTTTATCAAAACAGGGTCACAGTAATAGGAACAGAAGAATATTTCTCTAGCTTTACTCTCACCACACAATTGCTGGATTTCTGCTTTCCTCACATTCCCTACAACTATTACTATGAATAGTTCAGGAGGCCCATCTTGGCTACTTTGTGGCATCCATTCTTTTCCCTATCTGCTCTCTAGTCCTGGTACCCTAGTATATAATCTCTCTCCACCAGCCCGAAAGACAGAGCAGCATTTGCAGCCAGTGTAGTTAGTTAGCCCAGTCTTAGGAAGAGCTGCCCATTTAACATGGTTTGGAAGGTTCCATTTAATGTTTCCACCCAATTGGTCAGGACTAAGAGGCCTCTCTGAGATGAGTTGGGCCCACATTCAACAGTTCACTCAAGTACTTTCACATAAACGTTCTCATCTCGCCTGGTCGCTGCAGACCAAGCAGGTTTCCCCAGTGCCTGGAAACAACACCTGCTCTGCTTTGCCTCTTAGGTGACAATGTGGGTACTATCTGGAAGTAGGAAAAACCAAAATCTTCAACTCTGGGGCTTAGCAAATACAATGCGTTTTCCAGTATTTCCAATTGTCCTTCCTACGTTGAAGCCGTAAGTTCTTTTAGGCACAACTTTATGCTTCATCATCCTAGAAATACAGCTCTGACTATGTCCATCCACAGCTAAAAACCTTTATTAACACTGAAATTACAGCAGAATAATTTCTAAATTCCCCATGTTAGTACAAAGTCATGGTTCTCAAAACGTTACTATACATCAGAGTGACCTAGAAGAATTGCTTAAACAAAGATTGCTGGCCCCATCCATGAGTTTCAGATTCAGTAGGCTTGAGTGGGGGCCCAGAAACTTGCATTTCTAACAAGTTCCCAGGTGATGCTGAGGCTGCTGGTCCACAGAACACATTCAGAATCACTGGCCTAGCGGACCCATCCTATCTAGCCACAGGTTATATTCCTAACACCCAGCTGTGGTACCTGTTTTCAAAGATAACCCTTTATGCCTTGTTCAGATTGTATGCACCTTCCTCCTCGGTGCCTTTGTTTTGTTTCATTCACTTATTCACTCACTCATCGTCTTAGCCTGCTCAGGTTACTACAACTAAATACCGTAGAGTGGGTGGCTTAAACAACAGACATTCATTTCTCGTAGTTCTGGAGGTTGGGAAATCCAAGACCAAGGGGCCAGTAGACTTGGTTCTTGGTCAGGCTTGCAGACGGTCACCTTCTCACCGTATCCTCACATGGTGAAGAGAGAAAGTACTGATGTCTCTTCTTCTTCTTGAAAGGGCACTAATTCCATCCTGGGGGCTCCACCCTCATGACTTCATGTAAACCTAATTACCTCCCAAAGGCCCCACCTCCTAATACCACCACATTGGGGACTGGGGCCTCAACATATGAATTTTGGGGGGACACAGACATAACATGAGTTATGACATGAGTGTTATGAGTGTCATTCACTCAATCAATGGTTTGTTATTTCATCACACTTTTTTCCCCAGCTTTATTGAGGTATAACCAACAAACAAAAATTGTAAATATTTAAGGTTTACAATGTGACTTTTTAATATACTTCATCAAACATCTTTTAAAGATCAACACAACTGGCCCTGTCAAGTGTCCTCATGAATTTTATGGTACAAGAGAGGAGAGAAAAAATATTACCCTTTTCATTTACAGAGTGCTTCATGGTTTTCAAAGAGCTTCCACACGCAAGCTTCCATTTGATCTTCTCCAGAGCCCTGAAAGACCAATAGGGCAGAGATTATTTCACAGATGAAGAAACTGAAGTCCTGGGAGGAGAAGTGGTTCATCCAAGGTAACGCCACCCCAGGTCTTTCAGGTCCCAGATCAACTTTTTTCCACCCAATCACACTACTTCGGTCTTGGCTCATTGTATCCCTTCTTTCCACACTGCCTAAATTGTAGCCCTTCTTTAAAAGCCCAATCTAATACTACCTCCTCCATGAAGCCTTCCCTGACAACCCTAGCTAAAATAATTTCTCCTTCTTAAAAACTAAGGTAGTACTTTATTTTGTCTCTCTACTGGCATTTTTAAAAAATATAACCTCCCTTTCTAGACTTCAATCTCCTTGAGAATAGGATCAATAGTTCACTCTCCTTTTTGTCTCCCCAGCACTCAGTTTTTAGCTTAGAGTAGATGCTCATTTAGGTGCTCAGAAATGAAAAAGGAATGAAGAATGGAGAGAGAAAAATTTCACCAATTTTCTGAGCAAATGCTTATATTCCTAAGATAATCAGTGAAGAATATATTTGACATGAAAGCAGAGCTGTGTGTTATCTCTTTAGTGTCCACCTCCATACACAGGGTGGGGAGGACTAGCATTAATTGATTGCTAGGTGCCACGTGTTTTATGTTATGACAATTGCCTTCATAATCTAATAGGTAAATACTATTGCTCCCCTTTTCAAGTTGAGATACTGAAGCGCAGAATTGTTTAGAAACTTTCCCAAGTTCAGACACCGATGCCATGTTAGAGAAGAGACCAAACCCAATTCCATTTAACCTCATGTGGCAACGTGAACACATGAAATCATCTCCAACTATACTATGACAATAAGAAATTGTCCAGCATTTACCTATATAAGAAATTAGTTTATTGTATAGTAATAATCTTGAGATAATCTTTTAGTAATAATCTTTCACCTTATTATTGACTTGTCATTGATTCACCATTTGCTGGTTGAATCCTTTGATCCATTTTTCCAAAAGGGGAAAGGAATTTCACTAATACCATACTGTTTTCTTGTTCTTCATGTGACCAGTCATCACTAAGTGTGAAATGCTGGCCTGTGACTTAGACGGTAAATCTGCCTTAACTAGTGGTATAGCGTTATAACAGAACACGCCTATTAGAAAGGAGAGTGTGAAAGATTTGGGGTAATCCTGGAACAAGGTGAGGGTAGGAGTGGATAAACCCAGAGATGCCTTCATGAATAACCCCAAAAGGAATAATAACTTTAGAAAAATGGAAAACTCAGACATCAAAGCAATTTGTTACACAATTACCCTAGTATAGAGCTGAGCATTATTAGGGAGTTTAACCAAAGGACATTGCCATTGAATATCCTATGACCTTGATAGAGGCAGATAAGATACAGATGGCATGAAGGAAATGGCCAACTAACCTAGGAGGGTTCACACGTGGGTTCTGTAGCTGAAGTCTCACAGGAGCAGAGGCCTGCAACATCCTGAAAACCAAATAAACACATCAAAAGTGATTGTTCTAAAAAAAAAAAAAAAAGTGATTGTTTTCACAAATGTATGAAATATCAATTTGTATCCTTTCCTCTTACAGGTACTGCAATATTCTACCTGGTAAACACCTGTCAGTTTAACTGAATTGGCAGGAGTTACTACAAGGTCTTACCATTTCGTTAGCCATTAAGATAGCTAACAATAAATCTCGGCATCCTAACAGATTATTTTTTTTCCTACAATTTCAATGAAACTGTTTCAGGTAATGAGGAAATTCTACCAAAATCTTCCAAACTTTTTGGATCTGCCAGATGGAAAAAAGTTTGCAAGCACATTTTCAGGCCTCCTGGGGTATTCCATTCAGAAAAATCAAGTCACAATAAATGTTCTATTTCTTAAACAGCTTTCTATTGTTACTTAGCCTGTCAGATCAGATCTGGGAGCTGGTAAAAAGTCACCCATCCCGAGAAGAGTGCAAATTGGAGAAGCAGATAAATATTTTCTCTAACTCAGTGCTGATAATGTTAATGTAATATTGGCTTCAATGGGCAGTTTCAATCACTCATGGCGTGTCCTCAGAGATGTGACACAAGCGGGGAGACTGAGCTTCTTGAAAATAGAAACATACCAGACATTTGATGTTCGTCACTGCTTCTTGAAAAGAGTGCAGAAGTCCCCCCTTAACCCATGGTAGAGAGGTTCATAGAAATCTCTGCATTGGCGAATTCACAGTAAGGACAAAGTAAGACCTATATATAAAAACGAAACTTGTTGCTAATGGGTGTGGCTATGTGGCTATCCCAGGACTAGCTGGAGGGAACTGTCATTTTGTCTGGTCACTAAGGGAGATTTTGAATAACAATAACAATTCTACATCATGCTTACATATTTTCTAAGTTCCAGACACTGTTCTAAATACATTTTGAGCATATTTAATCCTCACAGTCACCCTATGAAGTAGGTGCTATAATTATCCTCATTTTACAGGATACACTTAGAAACACAAGTTCAACGACTTGCCCAAGGTCACACATCTAAGAAGTGGTGATACAGGCAGAATGGCTCCAGGGCCCATGCTCTGGTCCAATATACTCTGCTGCTTTTTTTCAGAGAGAGAATGGTATATTTTTTTTAATATAAGAAACACACATTAAAAATTTGAGAAATGAAAGGAAAGAAACTTTAGTGCTACTAGCCTCACATGATTGTTGTTAGCCTTTGGGGATATTTGCTTTCAATCACATTTATTTGCATATTTTTAGATTCATTGTAGTTTTTATGATTTTGATTTTTTTCTCTTCACATTGTATTAGAAGTATTTTCCATGTGGCTAAAAGTGTACATGATGCTCATTTTTAATACCTGCATAATATTAAATAGATTGGGTATACCGTACTTAATTAGCAAGTCTCCACTTGTTAGGTATTTAGGTTGCTTCCAACAGCCTAGAGCAGGTTCAAGTGTAGGCTGTGGAGCCAACAGCATGCTTCAAATCCTTGCTCCTCTACTCACTAGCTATACAATCGTGAGAAAGATACTTGATCTCTCAATGTTTCAGTTTTCTCATCTGTAAAATGAAGATATCAACTACCATTTGTAAAATGAAGAGTAACTACCTCCACCTCCTTGGGTTCTTGTGGATTAACTGCATTAAGTGAAGTAAAGCACTTAAAACATTGCACATAGTTACTACTATCATAAATGTCTGTAGTGAACATCATACATAAAGCAATTCACACCAAAAACATTATTTCTTTATAATGTATTCTCATTGGGTCAAAAGATATAAACCTTTTTTGTTCTAATATCTGACTTACGTGGCCAAAGTATTTCCAAAAAGTGCTATATAAATTTATATGCCACCAGTTAATGTAAGAAGAAATCATTTTTCAATGAATCCTTGCTGACTTTGGGTATTAACATTAAATTCTCTATTGCTTTGTCTTCCAGTTCATCAATCTGTTCTTTATCTTTTTCTAATCTGCTCTTAAACCCATCTATTGAGTTTTTAATTTCCATCAGTTTATTTCTCAGTTCTGGAATTTCCATTTGATTTGTATCACAGTTACCAGTAATCTGTTGAAATTCTCTATCTTCTAATCTGATTTCTTTAATTTATTAATCACAAATATTTTAAAGTCTGTTACTCTTACATCCAGATCTCCCATAAGTCTGTTTTTGGTCATTTAATCTTATCTGCTGGTAAGCCTGGTAACTTTATTAAATGCCAGATATTGTATATGAAATTGTACAAATAATTTGAGCTTCTGGATGATCATATCTTTGTCAAGTGATGTTTTACTCTAGCTTCTGAGAGGCAGTTAGGTAAGTGAGATTTCTGTTGGATTCCCTGCTCTCTGGGTTCTTGGCATCTCAAGCCCTCTCCACCTTGAAGCTCTCCAATGCCTTTAAACAAATATTTGCTAGATTTTATTCAGCTTTTCTATTTGCTCTCAGAGGATAAATTGATCTAAATGAAAATAATCTATAACAGCTGGGAGTGTAAATCCTTGACATTAATTTAAAAATAATAGATTAAACCTAAATATAACTTATTCTTGTTTTAGTGTATATTCATTTGATTATTAGTAAGGCTGAATGTCTTTTTATGTTTGCAAATGTGTTATATTTCATCTTTTGCGAAATGTGATTTTAGTCTTATCTCATATACTGGTTAAATGTGGTTCTATTCTTATCTCACGTATTAGTTCTCAGTTGTGTTATGAGTTTGTATGACTTTCTGTGTAATAATCATATTAACCCCTTCTGTTATTATGTGCAAATAATTGTACCTAGGCTACTGTTTGCTTGTTTTATTGTTGTTTTAATATAATCAAATCTATTTTATCTTTCACTTTGCAATTAGTTACAGTATTCTAAGCTTATAAAAACAAGTCCCTTTAGACTTCCTCTGGTTCGCGTTTTGCTAATTTATTATACGCGTATGATGAATGTATAAATTGACTTTTCCAAACTGTTAATCAGTCCACGTATTGCAAAATGTATTCCTTCTCCATTGATTTGTGTCCTGCCATTATCAAATATTTTATTCTTTGAAATATTTCATTATATTCTCAAAATATAATTTATTTTGACCACATATTTTGCCTCATTAATCTATCTATTTTGGTGCCAGTATCACATGGTTTTAATTATTATAACTTGATAATATATTTTAATATTTGATAAGACCAGTCTCTTCTCATTACTCTTCTTTCTGAAAACTGATTTTTGCTTGCTATTCTTGCCTACTTTCTTTTCTGGATTTATGTCAAAATCAAGTTCCCCTCACCATTATCTCAAAACATGAAAAACAAAAGAGAAATTATTAGATTTCCATTAAATTAGATTTCCATTACATCTATACTTTGCAAAGAATTAACAGTTAAAAAATACGTTATCTTTTAAAGCAGAAACCAGTCTTTGGATTTAATATTTTTATAGCTCCCAAAAAGTTTTTTAGGAGAACTTTAGCTATATCAAAAATAATCAAAATAATCAAATCATAAAAAAAAATAGTTTTGATTATTTAACAATTTTTAGCTTCCAAAAAGTTTTATTTAAATAGGTCACATATTTCTGTTTAAAATCAATCATAGAGCTTTATATATTTTGCTGTTCTTATAAAATGAATCTCTTTTAAAAGTTTATATTTGGGTTGCTAATATTTAGAAATACTATTGATTTATTTAATATTCATATGTATTTTAATTTTTACTAATTTATTAAGTCTATTCATATTTTTATTGACTCCCTTAGGCTTTCAAGCTATAAAAAATATTTTTCCAATACATAATGATAATGTTGTGCCTTTTTCATCTTTATAGCTCTTCTTTCTTTAGTATGCTTTATTACATTGATCAGGGCTTTTAAAATAACATTTAACAACATTATTACGACAAAACCATTATACCAACTTCTATCCTCACCTGTTTTTAAACATGTACATTTCTAGTATTTTAACACTAATTTTAATGTTGACTATTAGTTGAAAATATTTATTATCATGTTAAAGACATTTTATTTTTCCTTTTTTACCATTGTATCAGAAACAGGTATTAAATTTATCCAATGCTTTTAAAAGCAATCTATTAAAATAACAGTTTACTTCTTTTTCTTATTTAACCTACTGATATGATATATTTCATTAGTATAGTTTCTAATTTTGTAAACTTTTGTTGTGCTTGGATACACATTATTTTCATTATTTTGCTGTGTTGAGTTCTATTGCATTAAAATAACAGCATGCACAAATTACTTTTTTGTCCAGTTATTTAATGCATAATCTTTCAGTACCATTATTCCTTCACTAACACTACACTATTCATAATTATAAAATAGTCTTGTTGTCTTATTTACTGTTTTTTTTTGACAAAAATTCCTCTTTGATATTCATATTGCTATATTTGATTTAGATGTAAGCATCTTAGGCTGGAAAATCTGCCATTCAAAAAAATATTGCTATGTCATTTTTCTTTAAGTGTGAGTCTTGTAAGCACACCAAATCATAAGACTTTCATTTTAATTTAATGTGAAGCTCTTTCCATTTGAATAGGGAAATTTAAGCCATTTATACTTGTCATAATTTTTAAGCTTGATTGGACTTGTTTATACTGTGTTCTTTTCAATAGTTTGTTATTGTTTCCTTTCCATTTTGTCTTTTGCATGGGCTGTGTTTTGTTTACTTTTATCTTCTACAATTACTTATAAAATAGATATTTTGTTTCCAATTCAACTAGTGCCTACATTTAATTGTTCATAACTATCCTTAAATACATTCTTATCTAATGATTTAAAAATAAAGAAACAACTTCTAATGCTTTTGTTTTCTCCATCTCCTCTTTCCGCATTGTGATCATTAGTTACAGACTCTTCATTTAAAAATCTAAAAACCTCCTTTTCAGGATTATTTTATTAAAAACATTGCTCCCTTCATAAAAAAAAAATCTAGCCATCAATATCAATTCTTAATTTACTTCAATTCTCACTATATGCTATTTATTTATTACTTTGTCTTTACCTTCAATGCTTAGCACTCATCTTTTTTCCTGCA